TACCTGTCTTTATTGTTGACTGAATATGACCTGAAGCGATTCGACTGCCTGGTGAAATCCAAGTTCGCCATGTAGGGAGTCGCTAACTGGGCTCGAGGGGGCTGAGGGGTTTCAGCAAGACCGAGGTAGTCTAGTGTGCGCATATGCACATCAGAGTCACCGCCGCCTTCCTTGGAAAACTGGGACTGGGAGGGTGAACTAGGTCCGTTGGAACCAACACTTGCGATGCTTGCCAGAGTTGACCCTCGCTCACGACCAACACCGGCGGGGTTCCAGCTACTGAAGATGGAGGGACCGAAGGGCGAGGCTGTACCCGGGAGTGTGCTGAATTGGCTACGCTGTGGCATAGACCCGGCACGAAGCCGAGAAAGAAGAGCAGAACCGCCGGTTGCAGTGTCGGGATGGTCAAGGTTTGGCGACGGCGATTTGCCGAATGGGCTTTGGGACGGAGTAACTCGAGCAGATTTGACGGCCAGTCCAGGGATATTTAAGAGGCCGTTGACCGGACCGCCGGGCAGTCGAGAAGGGACTGTGCCAGCCCGAGCTCTGCCAGTGTGAGGCATACTGTCGGGAGTCGGAAGATGGCCAAAGTCAGGAAAGCCGTCGGTGGGAGACTCAGGGATGTTCTCGCGAAGAGGAGTTGAATTTCCGCTTGTAGGAGGGCCACCCCATGGGTTAAGTGGTAGACCGGGGATGCCTTCCTGGGCCTGGATTTCGCGAGCTCTGGTTGTGGAAACAAGTTGATTAGCATAGGTTCACTGAAAAAAAAAAGCGTAAAACGACCCGAAAAAAGTAAGGAAGAGGTCTGTAGTTGTGCGTTGCAAAGCTTCGCTTTGCGTACACGGAGCGTGGCCACCACCAACCTTTTGGAAAAGAGCCGGCTGGATCCAGCCACGTCGTGCGACGGAGAACCGGCCCCGGACCGCGCATTGCCTGCCATTATGCCGCTCGAAAGGCCAAAAGGAGATCTTCCAGTAGAGGCAGATGGATCGACTGGAGAGTTACCACTGCCAGGTGACTGAGATCGACCAGCCTGAGAAGTGGAGTGGTGGGACGAAAAACCTGGTGCCATATGATCTGATCTGGACATTGACATTATCAATTACCTAGTTTGGCCTCATGACAGTGAGGTACAATGAGCAGCCTTTAGGTGAGATGGATATAATTAATGTTCTTTGTTCGAAATGCGTCGGATGTCGTATGAACTATGGAATGCGATTAGGGCAACGGCCGCGGACGTGTGAAGAAAGTCGTATTCGTGTTCGAAATGGAAGGATCAAGGACGACGACCAGAGAGAAGAATGCACCAGAGGCCAGATGTCCGACAGCTGACGAAGCAGGCAAAGGTCTTGAAGGGAGTGGAAAGGCGCACAAGAAAATAGAAAACACCAGGTGGTCCAGTACCCAGGTATTACAAGACGGTACTGTGACAACAAACTGGCCGAAGGAGACTCGCGAGGGCTTTTGCTGAAGGAGACCCGAGACGACCGATGGTGGACACGCAGCAAGGATGCTGAGGCCAAAAGAATTGGGATTGCGTCTTGGACGAACGGCAGTGTCGGGCGTCGGGCGTCGGGCGACAGCTGTAGAAGCGGTGACAATAGCTGCAGCACACCTTTGTCAATGAAGTCAAAGATGCGACTGTACACGAAGGCTGGCTGCAACCACGACGTCGGTCCGGAGTGCTGGTCTCGGCGAGAAGTGCCACTGGGGGGAAGAAAGCGAGGCAGAAATAAAGTTAAAAACGATCAATATACAAGCCTCATTTGGGGAAGACGGGACGGAACGGGGGGGTTCGGAGGAAGAAGGGACGGAGGATGAAGGAGAGAGAGTGGGAAAAAAAAAAAGAGGCTAATGGTGATGATGATGGGAGCGGGATTCGTGGGCGGTTGAAGCAGCTTGAGGACGTGGAGGGAGGAGGACGGGGCTGCAGTTCAGTGCTGCTTCACTGGCTAGCTACCGAGTAATGCGCCTCCTGATGGGCCACCTAACGAGCCAGCTGGCACATGGGAACTCTGTAACAGGCCAGGTCAATGTCAACCGGGCTTTGAGCACAAATGCAAGAGTCAGGAGCGCTGCTGTGTCGCTGGCGGAGCGTTGACTGGACCTCAGTGCTGGGAGCTGGGTCGTCAATGCTGGTGGCTGCTCTAACACTGGGTCAAGCCGTCTGGTCTAGCACTGTGCTACTACAGTGGATTACGCGGCGTCCCGGTTCCTCAAGTAACCAGACCAGTCTTGACCACTCCGTACTTAAGTAACTAGAAGCTGGCGGCGTCTGGTGGGTTCCCAACGGCCAGGCTGCAGACTGGAAGCTGTCACAACGGTCAATGTTGAGTCTGCACATGTGGTGACCTGATGAGGCTTCAAATGCTCCGACCCGAATGTTGAGGCTTCCGCATTTTGTATTCTTACAGCCCCAAGCGTCGCGAGTGTTGAGCTGGATCAATATGGAGAGCCAATGGCTTCAATTGTGCTCCCGGGGCAGCTGGCATCTACCACGCAAGGGTCAACAACACCCGAGACTTTTGACGCAACTGGCATGTGGGCATTCACAATCGTCTCGCCACACACTTCAAGCCTCCGCCAACGAATCCGCTTGACATGTAGTTATTATTTCCAATTTCTATCCAATTATTCAAACAACCCATACATTTATTTCTTTGAAACACTTACTTACTTGAGTTATAGTAAATGAATAGTAGCGATGCAGCCCGTGTCACCTTGCGACGACACCGCACGACAGCCCGCCCTCAAGTCAAGAAGAATACCTGTCCTTGTCGAGCAATCAAAAAAACTCGATAATATCTGGCAACCAGTTAAAAGACGAGCCTCGTAATTTTTCCTGATACTGAAACAAAAGGCCATCACAGGGCTTATGTATGTATGGACCAGCTACTCCGTACCTCATTTATCAGAGAGTGAGGGCAGTTAAAATGCACTACTATGCGCTAAACTCGACGACATCCCATGTCCGCATCCCGACCGCCACGCGCCTTCATCTCTTCTTCCATGCTCGCCAGCATCTTTGCATCTGGCCTTCAGTCAAATGCACCACAAGAGGGCAGGGATGGAGACTGCCCTGCACGCCTTTGCCCACAAATCCAACGTCAGTCCGTCGTGGCTCTGTATACTCTACTGTCACATCGGGCTGTATGCACCAAGTATTACTAGATTGTTGGCGTCGGCTTATGACCTGGTCCCGGGAGATACGAAGCCAGCTTTATGTATGCACTTCGTCCCGCTGTCCGTGATATCTGTCATTTGTGCCTCCAGTGGGTATCCGGACCAAGCCGTCGATATTGTTTCTCCCAATATAGATAGACGGCGGCTGTTAATAACGAACAAACTAATTTTATACATAAAAACCTCGTAGTCTTTGCACGGTCCCTTTGTTCCCGCCAGATTTGACAGACAGCCCTGCCCCGAGGAAATGTAATAAATGGGAAAAAAAAAGTACTGTTTAAGACAGAGCCTGCCCTCAATCCAGTGACCCAATGACGATTCTTGGCCCATCTGCTTCTTGGGCCATCGGACATCTTCTTGAACCGTCAACCAATTCCTCCGTCATCAAGAGGATACAAGAAAGGGCAAAAACTCAAAACTCCTCGCCCCTATGGTGTTGCATCAATGCATGCAAGCGAGGCATCTCAATACAAAACTCTGGCCAGGCACGCCTTGCCTTGCCTTGCCTTGCCTGCCAACCCCCCTTTTCCCCCTCGCCCGTCTCGACTAACTCAGTCGGGCATTATTTCAGGGGACAGTCCATGAATATCATTGGCGCATCATCAACTGGAGGGCCACATGCTCTCAGAGTAGGGGAGCAAACGGTCAACGTATAAAACCCCGTCCACCAAGCCAACTGCCAATTGGTGTGGTTGCCCTGATCCGCCGCGCTTGCCCTGATCCGCCGCGCTTGCCCTGCCCTTCGCCTTCCCCCTTCCCTCCGGGTCCACACCACGTACCCGCACCCAGAGCCCCCCTCCCCACCTGCAGCCCCTGGCCATGATAACACGTCTATGTGCATGGGTCGCCTTTCATCATCATCTTGAACGCGCAGCTTCCTATTGCGACTTCCGCGCCATGCTCAGATATCTACTAGGTAGGTACGCATGCACTCAATTGCTACTAGGTACCTAGGGTATGTACATACTAAGTAGGAATGATGCGAATGCGCAGCGGAGCTTCCTGCCAGGATAAAGACTTGCGTAATAATAATACCCAATCGTACGGAGTACATAGATCCTTCATCAGAATACTCCGTAGTGTACACCCACTAACCTGCCAACTTGATATCGGCGGCTCATCGTAAAGCACACCAATCGTGGGCTGATTCCTTGCCGGCGATCCAAGATCTGCCAAACAAGTCGTTCTGAAACACACACCTGAGCCTCCCTTTGTATCCCTCGGGTGCGAGATGGGAAGCCTACTGTGGCGCCGACCCAGGATTCTTCTTGTATTTGCCTAATGCCCTGTCCTTGACAGTTCAGGGATTTTGTCACAATGACGCCTGCACTGTATTTCAACTGTGTAAATGTGAAAAGACCCGAGGAATACACTTTGCATGAATGATATATCTTACTGCATGACCGCATCATCTATTTAGTATTAATATGTATCTCCAGGCTGGTTGAGAGTCCATAAATATGCAAGTCGCCACTGTAGCTGCAACCTCAACAACCCCCTCAAAACCAACCACTATATAGCTGTCTCTCCCTTCCACAGAGCTCCCAAGTACAGGAACGTCCTGAATCTAAACCCGCATGAACAAAATCACACTTCTTTCTCGGTCACAGACACCCCAAGCACCAAGTTTTGTCAGACGCTTGCTTAAGAGGCAGATACAACTGTCTCTGAATCCCAACCCAAACGCCGAAATATTCAGGCCATTCTTGAGAAACGGCATGCATGGCGTTCCTAGTTTAGCTAAATCGAGCCTTAAAATGTGTGCTATCCTGTTTGGTAAAGGGCCAAATTTGACGCTGCTGAAAGGCAAGTACTGTTTATTTCGCGTGTTTCTTGAACGCCAAGAGCTCTGCTAAGCTGCCCAGTGGGCAGCCGTATTTCAAAAAGTCATGTGCCAGAAGCTCATCAGCCGAAGCGCGGCTTTTGACGTCGACGCAAAGACAGACTGAGAGAAATGCCTTGAGCTCCTTGCTTAACTTCTCGGGCTTCTTGAGGCGAGGGGTTCCGTTAGTGGCGATCAAATATAGGGCCTTCAAAGGCTCCTCATTGAGGTATGGCGGTTCAGACTCGATCATTTCAATAGCCATGATGCCCAATGACCAAATGTCGACTTTGGGGCCATATTCCTTCTGCTTGACAACTTCTGGCGCCATCCAGTATGGTGTTCCAACCATGGTGGCTCGCTTCGACTTGGTCTCTGTCAGCTTGGCGCAAAATCCAAAATCAGCTGTTGTCAAGTTAGCATTCTGAACTCTCTCCATACTTCAAAAAAGCAAACTAACTGATCTTAACATTCCCCCGAGCATCCAACAGAACATTGTCACTTTTGATATCTCGGTGGATAATGCTTTGAGAATGAAGGTGTTGTAATCCGTGGCAGGTCTTAGAGAAAAAGAATGTGTTAGTAAGCCTGTAGCTTGTTTTATTGTGGGCGAGTCACAAGCAACCGAACTTACTTCATTGCAAATGGTCGAAATCTGCTCTTCAGAAATGGATGGGTTGTTGTCAATGACGTCCGTCAGAGCACCACCTTCCATATACTCCATAACAACCCAGAGTTCCTGATTGTTGTTTCGCAAGAAGGCATCCAGAAAGTTGACAATATTTCTGTGCCGACTGTCCTTCATGACCATGATTTCGTTCACAATCAGTTCCTTTCTTGGCTGATGGGCAAGATCCATCTGCTTAATGGCGACTTGTGCTCGGGCACCCTGTTGTCGCAGAACCTCCCGGGCAACACCCTGAGCGGTCTCCTTGATTTTGGCCACATACACGGAGCCAGAAGCCCCTTGACCAATCTTCTTCTGTTTAGAGTACGACATGTTGGGGTCATCTTTTGACACGGCTTCCTTTAGTTTGGCCATGACCTCATTTTCCGACATTGTCGACATGCGTACATCTTGCTTGCGCTCCGACGGCGAGGGCTTGGCGGTGAGGGCTGCTTCAGCAGCCTTGATTCCCTCCGCTGGGTGAGCCTGACTTGGCTTAGGTGCCACGTTCAGCGGCTTGACAGGAGCCGGCAAACGTGACGCACCTTGCGCAGGCTGCGGTTGTCTTGGCTGAGGCTGAGTGCTATTTGGATTTCTGGATGCTGGCGAACCGTCGTTGCGGGGGATTCTGGAGGTTTGGCTGGTAGGGTCGCGAGAGGAGCTTGATTGAGCTGCTTGGGGAGGGCGAGGCGAGGAAGTAGATGATGGTGGGGGGGGAGCTGGTCTCTGAGCACGCATGCCATTTGCTGGGCTCCCTGATAGCTTCGGTGCTGGGGGAGCGGCTCTCGTAGGGTTGAATCGATCGCCCTGTGGTGAGCCTCCGGAACCACCACCATAACCACCGATCTCTTGCTGGGCTAGGGGCACCTTGTTCTTAGGAAGGGATGCATTGTAAGCCTCCAGTTCCCGGCGTTCTCGGTCTTCAGCTTCGCGCTGGCGTTGGGCTTCCATCTGCTTCCTGCGTTGTTCTTCTCTAAGGGCATCCTGGGATACATAATTGGGAGCCATGTTCTGCATTTGTTGACGCTGTTGCTGCTGGTCCCCGAGAGGAGGGCGTCTTTGCTGACGGTTGCCAGATTGGGGAGGTGTACTACCATAACTCATGTTTCGTTGTGTTGGTGTCGGAGGGGCTGGACGAGGAGGAGCGATACCTGCCCCGGCCGCGGCCCCGAGTTGTTTTTGTTGCATGCCCCCTGGAGGAGTAGGAGTCATGCTAGAATACTGGTTAGGATTTTCGGCTCTCTTCGCAAGATCTGTGTAGAAGTCCAATACTTCAAATACAGCCTGGGGGTTGCGCTCATAATCTTCCTTCGTGATTGCGGATGAGTTGAGTAGTTTCGACCATTCGGGCGGCAAACCGACAAATTCGCCAGTTTGGGGGTCAAACCCAACATGAACTGCGTGGGAAAAGTTGGTTGGGTTGCTCACGCCTCCCATGCCAGGGCACGCGCCATAGATGAGATCAATCCACTCATAGAGTTCATCGTCTCCCTTGACTTTGATATGTAGGGTCTTTGTTTGGCCATCGTCGTCACCCGGGCTGTTTGAAGCGCCATCAGGCTTCCTTTTGATTTCAAAAATGGTACCAGCGGCCTCAACCCTGCCGACATTAACCACATCTTTTAGATATAGGGTATAAGACACTTTGCCTCCTTCAGTTTTGTGAAAGTCGAGAGACTCCTTTCGAAGGATCAAATACTTTTGTTTCCAAGGTTGGATAAAGTTCTTGCTCTCCTTGACCGATGCCCATCCTTCTTTCTTTACAGCAACTCCCCCCATACCATCCATGTTATTAGACTGCTGGCGGGCGATGGGTAAGGAGATGGTAGAACCGGTGTACGTCGATGTGGCGGTACTTCGAATAGGTGAAATGGCCATGTTCGCCATGTTGCCGGGTAGGTTGGCACTGGGTGTTAGGGCAAGTCGAGGTCTGTCTGTAGGTGGTTTGGGAGCCGGGCCAGGGTTCATGAATTGGCTGGCGGAATAGAGGCTAAAATCTTGTCAGCTTCAAATTGGCCACATAAGGTTGCTCAGTAAAGTAAAGCCAAACGAACTCTGACGGAGCGAGGCAATGATTCAATGAGTAAACATTGAACCAAGTTCCTTGCCCGCAGAGCCCGATAGTGAAATCCCGTACGAACCAAGGCCAATTTACAAACATCAAAAAGCCACTCATGAACGGGGCAGAAATCTTTTGTTTCTTCTCCCCGCAGGGTCTTAAGGGCTTTATGAATAGTAGAGGATGTGGTGACAAGTGGTTGGTTCTGTATACGGGTTGAATGCATTTGAGGGATCGGGGAGACGACAACCGAAACGACTTCAACGTACCCGTTTTGTGCCATGACTGTGAAAATAAAACGCGCGACGATGTCGATCTGTGATATGCAATATGATGGCGCCGGTTTCGTCTGTTTCGAATGCCCAGAGCCCCTGGGACTGCCCTTCGACGTCTAGCCAAGCAGATACAGATACAGATACGGGCAGAGCGCAAAAGGGAGTTGGGCCAGGGCGCAGTTGACACTTGCAGGGTACAACGTGGTAAATAAAGAAGCGACTGGAAATAGAAACGAGACAGAGTTAGAAGAAGGCCGCCTCTGAATCGCTACCGCAGTCTGGGGCGACTGTTGCTGACGTTGTGGTGAAGTAGAGACGCAAGAGGGGCGCCGGCGCATGAACCTGGGGGGTCACTGAGTGTGTCTGGCCTCTCTGGCCTCTCTGGCCTCTCTGGCTCAGAAGCAGCGGTTAAGTGCCAGGGTCGTTGGTTATTGATTCCAAGAGGGAGGGGAAGCAGATATTCGTTCCGATTGCAGGCGACAGCGAAAAATAACCAGGGGCCTTTTTCCAAAATTAAAAAGAAAAAAAAGGAAAAAAAAAAGGAGAACCAAGGCAGGGTCGCCGGCAAAACAGACAGTGAGAGCGTACGACGGTATAAAGCAGTCGGAAGCCGGAGAAGCAACTTGAAGCATGAAAGTGTTGAAGGAGGGAGGTCTGCAGCCAAAGATGACGAAGCAAGGAGGGATGGGCAGAAATGGAAGTGGGCGGAGCACGGGCTAAGACTATGATGAGTACAGCACGGAGAACATATCCAGAGGCGGAGATGCTACACAACACATGGGTACCTACATGTGTACCTAGGTTGATGTGTGCAATCAAGCGCCGACACCAACAAGCTTTACACTCCGTCTGGAACTTGTCATGTACTCCATGCCCATCCACCGAAACTAGAGGCGGGCTGCGTTTCGGACAATTGCAGATTGGGCGGTGCTGGTGAGAGAGGGCATGTGGGCTGTGTTGGATTGGCGCTGAGCCAGGGCTTCATATGTGCCACCAGACAGTTTATACTATAGAAGCACGAGGACAAGAGTCAACAGGGGCCGGGGCATCTGAGGCGTTAGAGTTAGAGTCGGGCATCGGGGCCGTACGAGATTGTCCTTTGTCGGCCAGGAACATGGTGGGGTTGGCTCGAACGGTACGGAGCACGGAGCACAAAGCACAGAGCCTTGCATCTGCCATCTGCTTTCATCTAGGTACTTAAGTACTTTATGCTCAAGTACGGATTCCCTGCAGGTCTGAGAGCCGTCTACTCTTTGTAAAATTTAGTACCGAGAGCACAGTGGGTAAGTTATTAGATTGCCCATGGGCGCACACGTAGCAATATCAAGCTGTGCTGATTTGACTTGTTCTTGTCTAATTTAGTCAGATGCCATTTGCTCAGTCGCCTGCAAATGCCAAGGATAGCTACCTAGTAGACATCGATTGATGCTCAAATACGGAGTACGCCACGATTGTGCAGCCATCACCAGACAACTTACTCGTCTTGGCAAGGTGCGGAGATGAATTGATGCAAGTGTCAGGGAAGTCACCACCCGCCAGTTTGTGGCCAACGCTCTTGGCTGGCACACGGCACACTTGCCACTGGACAAAAATTCAGAACATGGTTGGGCCGCCTAGCCCCTCCTCTAATGCTGGGCGAACGGCAGCAGGGACCAGCGGCAACGGGCAAGAACCAACGAGGTGGCCAAGAGCCGCACCAGAGCTGGGGTAGGCAACCACTGCCAACCAGTGACATTCGAAGTGGGGGAGGGGAGGGGTTGGAAATCGCTGGGTCGCTTCAGCTTGCAACATCCTTTTGTCGACTTTACAAGCAGAGCAAACGAACCTGTCTTATCGTCCATCCGCTCGTCTGCGGGCAATGCCGACATCAGTTTCGGGAATCGATGCAGTTTGCAACGGATTGACTTGACGCCATTATCTTTGACACTGCTCCCTATTACGTCCTCCTGCCTGCTTCCTCAGTAGTGGACCGAGGTATCGGACGGGCGTCTTGTCCAAGCCACAGCCGTTTCGCCGTATTCCCTCTATGGTGTGCCGAGTACTCCCTACTCATCGCTGAATTCGAGAAATCATACTCTATATCCGTCGCAGTGTCGCAATGTGAATTTGAAAATGTCCTGAGCCCCTGAAATCTGTTGTTACGCCTTTGTCGCACTCATCAATCAGGGGCCAGCAAGATGAAACACCCTCATTTTCCCACCCTTTTGTCAAGCTAATCGTCTCAGTTGCCACCAGACATATTAGCAATTTGTTTTACATGTCGTTGAAACTCGAAAAGAACTACTGGCAACTGGCAAAACACTAAATACGTATGTACTGAGGAGTACATCTAGCAACACGACGCCTGTCGACAGCTCGTGTTCTCTCCAACATTACACCATCTGTCTTTCCGGGTCAATATGGGCCCCCTCCTCAATCAACCCGTCCGGGGAGGAAAGCGACTGGTATTTGACTATGTCATATGCCTCACTAATATCGCGCGCCATGTGAGAGTACTGCAAGGTTTACTCTACTTCTACTGGATGATATCGTCGTGGCTTGTCGGTTGGCAAATCTTCCCTACCATACGCACACTTGGGTGCTTCTTAAAAGAACCCCATGTCCATCATTTGACTGCCCGAGCCAACCATTCTGTACAAATTCAGGCCTGTCTGAAAATTGACTAATCTCCCTCGTATTAGATGAACAAGTCACGCAAAAAGGTACCAGTCGCTTGCTGTTTGTTTCATTGCGACAGAGCCAAGTTTGAGAAACAGGTCCCTGCTACCTTGGCTTCTGTCGTGGTGGACGATCTCTACAGATGCTACCTCAAACAAACAAACATTTTCTGTAACCGGCAAGTTGGAAAACCATCTGTCATCTTGGCAATAACATGGAAATTTCAATGCAAGAGATGCTTCATTAACAAAACACCGCCAGCGAGTCATCTGTCTCCTCACAGCCCTGCTATTGATGCCCGCACGACCTCTTTGCTAGTGCTCACCATCCACCGGGCTCGTTGCAGATCGCCGGCATTCGATCCACCGTCCAAGTTTCCCACAATAGCTACAGGAGTATTAGTTCAGGGCCTGTACCGTAGTTCGGCCCCTGCCTGACTCGGGCTCCGTAATGGTGACATAAAGTCCCGCGCTTCCTGAATTGTTCAACATACATACGTGACTTGGTAGGGGGCTAATAACCAACTAAAAGCGTTTTTTTTTAAGAGAAAAGTGAAACCTTTAAGTACCTCATATTTCCATGAGATTTCTGAATAAGTTAAGGTCTCTATTAGAAGAGTCAATAAAACACTATAAATCTTCCTAACACCTCACAGCCCAAAATACATGGATCACAGATAGTGCTACCGCCTGCTTGCAGCTACCCTGTCAGGTCACTCATGAAGAATAATTCATGGGGAAACTGTACATGGATGGGCACATGCACAGAGAGATAATCAATATCACAGCATCCATTCGACCAAACACAAAACTGCAAACGCACTCTTCTTATAGAACCCGCCCTCTTCTTATTACAGTCCCCTCTAAATTACAGAGTGCGGAAGCCACTACACGAATAGCGCCCACCGCTACCTTGCCTACCTAGCATGTACTTGGGTAGTAATTCAATATTTAGGGAATGCTTGATATTTTAGGAACGCTGCTGGTCTCCCCCTCCCGGCCCTCTAGTTGTGATTGCAATATGGGCTTTAATACGCCGTACCCTCCGGGATATTGGCCGAGTCAGAGTCGAGGAAAGAACCAGCTATGAATTCCGGACGTGATGTAGTGTTGCCGACTGTACGAGAATTGAATGACTAGGCAATTCAAATGAGCCTCATTTTATTAAGCCAGCATCTAGATTGACTCTATAACAAGCTATATGCCACGCGGTTCTACGTTGGCTCAGAACAGCAAGTAAATATAAAGCTGCATATATTCCCATTCACACGACCGCCCTACATTCTCGTTCATCATAGCGCCTTATTTATCATCTTCACGAGGGTAACTTTGCCTTTTTTTTCGTTCTAGCGGGCGGCAACTTCCACCTCCTGGCCCTCAAACTTGGGCAGCTCAGAAGCCACCTTCTCCCAGTTCTTTGAGCCGTCAACAAGGGCTTTGATAGCATCCAATATTTTGAATTCTTCAGCTCGGACCTGAGCTGTGGAGTCGCGGTCTCTCAGTGTAATGGTACTGTCCTGGAGGGTCTGGAAGTCGACAGTGATGCCGAGTGGGGTGCCAAGCTCGTCGTTTCGGCTGTATCGCTTACCGATGCTGGCTGACGAGTCGTCGATGCGGCTGGAGATACCGGCGAGTCGGAGCTGCTGGGAGAGCTTCTTGATGATAGGGCGGAACTGGGTGTTGTTCGATAGAGGAACGATGAGGACCTTGGTAGGAGCCACCGTGGGAGGGAATGACAGGACCTATTGTTCAGCTCAGTTAGCATCTTGTAGTAACATGTGTTTTGTAGTATAGTTGGGGTCACGCACGCCACGGGCCTCATCTCCACCATCACTGCCACGAGTCCAGAAGTTATGCTCAATCAGAGAGTACAGAATACGACCGATACCGAATGAAGGCTCAATGACGTTGGGAGTGAATTCTCTCGTATTCTCGATTCTCTTGCGGAACTCAATCTTGAGAGTATCACTGGCGACCTCAACCTTGCCATCGCCAACACCGGCAACGTCCAAAGAAATCTTGCCCGTGTCTTTCAGCTGCTTGGCAAGCTTCTCCCGCTCCTCTTGCGAAGTGGCCAGCAGAGCCGTCTCCACGGTCTTGGCATCCTTCTTGAACAGAGGACCAAACTTCTTCTTCTCAATATCCACTTGCCATTCCTCAATGACAAGAGGCTCTTCCAGGCGCTCCCGAACAACAAGAGGCGCACCAGTCTTCTTGGCATGAACCGATAGGTCGTAGGCACTGCGGTCAGCACAACCAACGCACTCGACCCAGCCAGAGCTAGTAAGCAACTCGGCGTCCCAGCAGTCGCAGGCGTAATGAGCCATTTCGTTGGCCATGTGCTGGCGAAAGCGCATTTTTGACAGGTCGACACCAATCTTGTCCAGGAAGAGGTGGATTCTGGCAAGGAAGTAGCCAAGAGTCTCATTGTCAACGAGGCCAGACTTGACTGCCTCACCGACGGTGACTCTCTTGGTCTCCGTCTTACCGGACAGTTGGGTATCGCGATCCAAGAGGAGGAGTACAACGTCTTCAACTTCGTGGAATCGGTGATGCTTCTTGCCACCCTGCGGGTCAACAAAGTGTTCAATCTCGGCCATCAAGAATTCTCGAACTCGGAGTAGACCAGCGCGGGGCGAAATCTCATTTCTATATGACTTGCCAATGGAGGCAGAAGCAAAGGGCATCTGGCTCTGGTTGAATTCGAGGAGCTTCGCAAAGTTGAGTAACTGGCCCTGAGCCGTTTCGGGACGCAGGTAGCCGGGAAGGTTGCTGCTTGGGCCGATTGAAGTCTGGAACATGAGGTTGAACGAAACGGGGTCCGAGGGCAAGACACCGGTGGCCGGGTTTTTGAGGTCGTATTTCTTGATGAGCTCACCAAGCTGAGGGCCGTCGTAATTGTCGATTCTGGCCAGAACCTCTTCGTATTCCTGGACAACAGCATCGTCCAGCTTTACGGCCTCGGACTTGGCCTTCTTCTTCTTTTTCTTGGGATCATCCTTCTCTTCTACTTTTTGACCACGAGCCTCCTTGTCGCCGTTTAGTCTCGCCTCGAGCATCGCCTCGACGAAGTGGTCGGCTCGCATGATTTCGCCGTTCTTGGGGTCCTTGCACATCCAGTCGGCAAACTTGTCGACGTGGCCGCTGGTCTTGAGAACATCGTGGGGCGTCAGGACGGTGCAGTCGACCTCGAGCATATCCTCCTCGAGGATGAAGTGCTTGCGCCACAGATCGACAATGTTTGCCTGTAGGGAGCAACCCGGAGGACCATAGTCATACAGCCCACCAACACCACCGTAGATTTCGAAAGAGGGCGTGTAGAACATGCGCCGCCTCAGCATGGCATCGAGGACGGGCTTGTCAAGGGGTTGACCCTTGAGGGTCGTTGCCGTTGTAGTCATTGCGGTTTGCTGCTTCTTTTGAGACTTGGACACCTGGTAGGCCTGGCGGGCTCGAAAAACGGAAAAGTTGCGCTGGCAGGTCGCTGGGCACCGACGAAATATGCCGCTGGCGACAAAAGGTGATTGATACGAAGAAGAAGAAGAAAGTGGTAAAATTCGAATTGGCTTCATCCACCACGTATATCGAGACGTTCAAGGAACGACGTGCGTGAGTCACAGCAAACTCTGGCGCACTTGATCCCTCGATGAACTGGATGGTGGGGTTAGAAGCGTCTCGAAGCCGGCTCTGTGTGTGACTCCCGATTAAAGCAAGGCCTAACAAAATAGATCCAGGGGAAGGCCGCAATACCCTAACACATCAGATGTGGGAACTCGGACAGCCAAAGGGGCGAATTGGAGCACCTGAGGGCGGGTGTTCCGATTTTGGCGCCGATACGGAGGGAGCTTTGTAAAGAGGGAAACAAGTGGACAATGGTGGTGTTGGTTGCGCGTGGCAGATGGAAACATTGAACCAGTGGGAAAAGCGCGGGCGCCAGCAGAAGTCATTGCCCCTCCATTAGACCCAGGTACCTACACACCCAGAGCGACAGGGTTGTGTACATGGGCACCTGACAGCCTGAGGCACGACAGTACTGGACCTATTAAGTTAAAGAAGCTCCAAGGCAATGCCGCCAGACTCTATGAATTCGCTTGCAGATATAAATCTTTGGTGTCACATCGTACCATGCCAATCATTCGACATTTTCGACACGCTCAACACACTCGACAGTATTAAACAGGTTTACAGCTTAGTCTCCGGAAAGCAGTTCTCGCCCAACTACCGCCACTGTTGTGCCTCATAGCATGGCTCGGCATATGCAGGTGTCTCGTTTCGTGTCAAACACCTTTGCCTCCATGCCTCCCACTACACGGCTCTTAAGTCAACCATAGTTGGGACGACTGCAGTGTTTTTCTTACCAACATGTCGCAGAAAAGATATATTTACATAGCTAGAACAAGACAACCCCCCAGGTTAAGCATTTAGATTGAGAGGTAAAACGCACGAGAAAGAGTTTAACTGCGGCTGCTTGAAAGCCTCAGTCATGCCTGACAACAATCATCATCATTTGTCAGCACTGCCAATTACGCCGGCCATTTCACACTCTAAAACTTCACCTTCAATGGCAGCGTGCCTAGACCAGACATCGATAGTGATGCTAAGAAATATACAACGTGCCATACGTTGATGGACACTTGAAATAAACCACCGCTCAGGAAACCGCACACCAGTCGTTGAATCCGTCCCTCGTTGCGAAGCACTGCTCCCGTAGTCGAATCGAAACCCTCACCCATGGACCCCCGCGGCGCATGACGTTGGATATCGTATCATAATGCAAACAATGGTGGGAGGGTATAGGTCAAATTCAACAAGCAGGTCGCTGAAATAATACTGACAAACCCAAAATAATCAGGAATAGCCGCTGCAACGGTAAAGGCAATGGCCCACCAGACGGCGTACAGAAACCTGCCGCGGCGGGTGACCAGCGGCGGCGCGTTGAAGATGTCAATAAGAACATTGTTGTACAGCACCTTGATACCAATGTTGCCATAAAGACCGGCAGCGATCAGGGCGCTAATCAGAGAGATGCCATTGCCGACAGTCTGCCATCCATAAGTGCTGACACCCTGATGACTAGGTTGATAACTAGGTTGATAAGTGTATTGACCTTGGAAGTGATAAACAAAGCATCCATAGACAAGGTACACCGTGTATATGAAAAGCTGCGCTCCCCACATGGTCTTGAGGAAATCTCGCGGCCGTCTTATCTCAGCCAGAAACTCTACAAAGAGATGCGCTCCGGCATATGCCAGCACCCCGGATGACAGGCCGTTGATTGACCCAACGAGTCCATTCGGTAGAAGTCCATTGTAATGTATGACGGGAGGATACGTCCCATCAGGCTCCCTTGTGACTGTTGATGGATCTACAGCACTCCCCGCTGAACCCAGAGTGGCAACGGCAAAGTTTGGCGGCGAATGTGCAATGACGCACATGGTGATGAACATGACGAGCAGGTTCAACGAAACAGCCAAGTTGGCGACTATTCCGTAGTTTCGTAGAGTTCGAATCTGAGTAAGGAGGAAGCCAGCGCAGACAGACAGCACAGGACAGACGACGTAGCACAGCTTAAACTGCGACATCTGAGAAATGTTCTGAGCAAACTGGATTGAACCTGTCGGACAATCAGGAGAAGCCCTAGTGCATGGAGAAGGTTGGTGATATGTCGCATGGTCGTGCCCCAGGTGCGGAACCCAAGATCACCATAATTCCTCGCCGGGAACTGGTAACTGTCGACGACGAGATACACTCGCCAGATGAGGTAACCGCTGTAGCCAGCCATGAAGCCAAAGATGGTGTAGAAGGCAATTCCTTCCTCGAATCAGACAAGTCAAAGTGAAAGATGGGTGGTACAAGACGTCGACATCGCCTACCTGGTCCCCATCCTAGTGTACCCATTGCGAATCCGACTCCATAGGGGCCCAGGATATCCGTGTTGATCAAATAGAAGCCTAAAGAGTAAGTGAGTATCCCTAACCGAATCATACTACATACGCCAGGGTAACAACGTGGGTGACTTCGAGCTCCGGTGGAAGCGGTTCTGTATGCACGACTGGCATTTGTCCATTCCTCGTCTGTAATTTCAATACGGTTTGCCCAATTCCCAAGCTCACGCCCAGACGGCATAGGTGCCTCGCGGTGGCCGCCCTGGTTGTTATCCTTGAATATCAACTCCTGCCACTTTGTCTTGGGCGCAATATAAGCCTGTTCCTCGGCCCGCGTCCGGTGAGCATAGTAATGGTACTCTTCAGACTTGACCACGATATCATGTGCCTTTCGAACCTGGGGCTTGATGTATGTGAATCCAGACGTCTGGCCTTGCTCGGCCACATGCTGTGCTGGCTTCTAGATGGCCAATTAGAATACTAACACGGGCAGTCCGTCGCCTGCAAGGGTATATATATGTGAGAAGAAAATGCAAACAATGGCAATGGCAGGCCAAGAACCGTTAGAAATCAGAGGCAGGCATGATCAAGACCGAGTCAAGACTCTTCTCAGCGTGATGCGGCGAGTCGGCACCCGCACGCGGGGAACGCCTGTCCCGGATGGAACGGCAGAGTTGGTGAGATGGACTAAGATCTACAGCAACCTTCGGCCAGTCATCACGTAACTCCTTTTTTTAGTGCTGACGGCGAAGATTCTATTCAAGAAGCGCAACGGTTCATGTTTCATTCGAGCCCGTCACGAAATCTCGTTCCAACCTGTGTCGTTTGCTCGATCCTGGTCTGACTGATTTTGACCCGGGAGGGTACAACGCTCTCTCTGCCAAAAAGGCAAATCCTGGTCATTGCCGCCGATAAACCCAACTATTCCCAAAGGCTTCATTACAGTAAAGTAGCATTGCCATGGTACCAAACTTTCAATTTCGGGGCTGAAGAGGAAAGGGGGGTCTAGGACGTCATTCCGCTCCTTTGTTGGCTCTGACACCAACCAGACCAGCAACCGTCGGACGCCGCAGGTTACACGTCCAAAGCCGCATTCTTCGAGTGCACGTTGTATTTCAAAAATTGTATTCTTCGTCAGCGTCGCCCATCCCATCAAGTCTTGCACAGAAACTCTCACTGTCCGGTGCTTCGTTCATGGCAGACGAGCTGAGCGGTTGCAGCAAGCCCACCACTTTTAGCAGAACCATGGCAATTCAAGACATGAAGTCAAAATGATTAGTAATGATATCGACTTTTTAAAAACAGCCAAGACCAAAGATCATCGTTCTTGAATCTCGATAAACTACCCGTTCTTCTGGAAACGTCAGAGGGGTTCGATATGGCCATAGCATCTGGTAAACTCCGCAAGGAGAGATCCAGCCAATCATATGCCCAAATCAGCCCCTTGGTATTTGTACTACTAGTTTGCTCCTTATCTGCCGGTCCCACTCACGATAAGCTTGGAGAGGCCCTGGCTCCTTTTTTTTTTCCTCTCCTCTGCCAGGACTTGATAATAGTGCCCGCCAGACCGACGACTTAACTAGTAGACGACGACTTCCTGACAATCCGACCGACAGAGATACCTGATCGCCCGTCCAAAAACCATCGGTCGTATACATAACCATCTCTGAAGCTCCCAAGATTCACGCCTGTGCGCCCACCAAAATGCGTCCGCTCACAGAGCAAGAGACCAAGGTCCTCTTCACCAAGCTGGCCAACTACACCGGCAACTCTCTCAAGAACCTCATTGCGCCCCTCCCAGACGGAGATCGCTTCTGTTTCCGCCTGAACAAGGACCGAGTCTACTACGTCCGTCTATCCATCGCCAACCTCGCTACATCGATAGCTCGTGACAAGCTTCTCTCACTGGGAACCTGCATTGGTACGTCCCGCACCACGTATGACAAGAAAAAAAAAAAAAAAAAGTCAAGCCTGCCCTCCTTCTTTGAAAACAAACCCTCCGTCCCTAGACTAATGGCATGATTTCTTTTCGTGGTGTAGGAAAATTCACCAAGACCGGCAAGTTCCGCCTTCACATTACCGCCCTCGAAATCCTCTCCGAGCACGCCCGGTGGAAGGTCTGGGTGCGACCCAACGGCGAGATGCCCTTCCTCTACGGCGGTAACATTGTAAAGGCCCACGTAGGCAGATGGTCGGACGACTGCCCCGAGCACCAGGGCGTGGTGGTGTACAACATGAACGACACGCCGCTGGGCTTTGGCATCACGGCCAGAAGTACCGCTGAGGCTCGGCGATTGGACCCGACGGGCATCACATGTTTCAGACAGGCGGACTGCGGGGAGTATCTGCGTGATGAGGATAACCTATTTGCTACGACTTGAGACGAGGGGAACAAGGATGATGTGTAGGGTGGACGATGGTTGGCGTTATTTGTGGTTCATTTGGGGCATCATTCTTGTTACATTGCATAGGCGTTTAGAAGGACAGATTTTCACATGGGACCAGAGTAGATTGCGATTTGACCATATTATGCAGGAGCATTACGTCCAAAGACAGCAAAATGTTCAAGTTTTTATGGATAAGAAAAAAAAAAGAAAGCAAAAGTGTCTAATGCCAATATCTCTATCATCACTTCTCTTGTGATTGTAGTATTTTCTTAATGCAAACTGTCGTTAATCCATGTCCGGAGAATAAGAACAAAATTACGCTAGTATATGGAAAAAAGGTGCCTAATGACGGCACATGTTGTGAAGGTCGTCAGAAAAGATCGCTGATAGGAGTCACAGGACGACTGTCCTTTCTGTAGAAGCCGATGTGAGACCGCTGAGCGACATACTCGCTGTCTGCATAGCCAAGGATGCTCTGAATGTCAGTGCTCTGGTGTCCCATGATCCTCGTAATCTCTGCAGAAGCGTAATTCACCAAGGCACGGCCAACCTCCAGAGGCTCTCCATCCCACATGTGTCCGTCAGGTCCTGGAGTCGACCTGCGGGTGACGACGGCAATGCGGACCACCTCATGCTGTGCGAAGTTCCCCGCAACGTCAACAATGCCGACGGGAAGCAAACCAGCCTTGTCCATCAAGGCCCTATGGCAGCCTTCGTCAATGAACAGGGTGCCCTGGGGGTGGGGAGTGTGCAGCAACCAGAAGTAGCGATCTGAGATCGGGTCGCTCGAAGGTAGGAACCGCGTGTGCAGTGGAGGGGGCGCATCATCGTCCACACTGGAGGACGGGTCCATGAGGTTCAACGAGGTGGTGGTATGAGACCAGGGCGGCTCGCCATGCTGGCTCCGCTGATCATCAGAGTCGGATGCAGATGAGCAGCTGCTGACCTTCTGCGTATGCAGGTAACGCACGATGCCGAGGATGTTCCCCGGATTGGAAGACCGGGTAATTATCGTGGTTACACCAGCCAGAGTCCCCAGCTTGGCAGCGATAATCTTGGTGCTCATACCCCCTGTTCCCAAAGAGGAACCGGCACTTGATACTGTTTTGGATGCTGGTCAATTTCCACTTGTCGGTTTAACCTTGGGATGTAATGCGGGGAATAAGGCTTACCATCTGCTTCGAGAACCGAGAAATCCTCTACAATTTCAATGGGCTTGGCATCTGCGTTTGTTCGCGGGTTCTTGTCGTACAGACAGTCAACATCTGTCATGAGGAACAATAGATCCGCATGAACCATGGCCGCAGTGATTGCTGAGAGGGTATCGTTGTCGCCAAATTTAATTTCAGAAACAGCAAGGGTATCGTTCTCGTTAACAATGGGAATGACTCCCATGTCCAAAAGTGTGTTGACTGTATTCTGAGCATTCAGATATCGTGTACGCTGGTGCACAGTTGTGTTAGCACTAAACCAAAAGGGAAGAAAGGATAAGAAGGGAGATGAGGCCCAAGAGAGAAGCGTACATCTGCAATGTCATTTCTGGTCAACAGAATCTGAGCAATTGGCTGCGACAAATGGCCGAAGAGGCTGTCCCATAGGCTCATCAGACGGCACTGTCCAATGGCTGCCAAAGCCTATCATGGAAAATTATGTTAGCGGGAGGAAGCCTTTTTACTACTCATTGGGATAATTATCCAGCTTCCCATTTAGCTTACCTGGAGTTGAGCGAGATGCTTGGGGCGCTTGTCGACCTCCATTCTTTGGAGGCCGACGCCAATAGCTCCAGAGGAGACGATGATGACTCTGTGACCATTCTTTCTCAACTTGAATGCAGTGTCCACAATCAAGGTAAGAATGGGTAGTAGAGGTTCATGAGTCTTCTCGTCCACTATGGAGCTCGTCCCTTTAAAATGTGACTCGTGTTAGACAAAGCGTCTGCAACATGAAGAATGACAAGACAAGACAGTAACAATGGCGAGCCATTGCCGCTGGATAGGTACAAAAGGAGGGGACCCCATTGTCTAAAACACGTACCCAGTTTAATGACAATTGTTTGTTGATGTCGTGACCGCTTCATCTCGGCGGCTTTTGATTCTCAGGGGTCAGCAAGTTCGTGAGGAACACCAGATCCATGAAAGGCTTAAAACAGAAACTTTTGAGGGACAGGAACAGGCTGCTTTTTGAGACTAAATGAAAAAGAAAGTAAAAAATGAGAAATGAGAAGCGCATCAAGCAAGAAGAACAAGAGGAGAGGAGAGCAGGCTGACATGGAACCATACTGTGCATTGCGTATTTGGACTTCCTTGTCAAAACTCTGCAGAGTTGTACACGGTACAATGTCTCGATGGCGCTCTCCATACCTAGGTACGTCACAGGCATTCTCACATGTTGGCAAACTTACTTTGAGACTCCGTAAATGCCTCGTCCGTCATCTTGAAGGCTTGCCTTGGCGCGGTGTTGCATCCCCTGGGGACATTGGCGTTCATTATTTTGCATGTTTCCAGATCATCTCATTGGATTTGAAGCAACATCCCAGCCCGAAGTCGGACCCGCTTTCGGATTGCGTCAGTCATCATAGGCTGGTCGAGTCACGCCGACTCATCAGACTTCAGGCCAAAGCCTTGGCTAATGTTTCGCTGCGCGCGCAATGGCCTGAGGAGGTACTTGGGTACGTACCGATATAGGCAGTAGTACCAACGCAGCAAAAGTACGGAGTACATAGCGACATATCAATGGACTACAGAGTACTAGCAGTAAGAATTTTGGAAACCAAGTCACGTACCTGCCTAGCCTGGAGGGAGTCTTGACAAGTACTGGATACTACCTAGGTAGGTACCTGAGTACCTGAACCGGTACCTCGGAGGTGTCTTTTGACTACTAGGCTCTAGCAGTACCTCCGTACTCCGTATTTTCTGCGACTCGCAGAGTCGCAGGACCACTCTTTCGTGCCTTAGTAAGAGCCGTCCCTGTGCCATTGTGGGCCTGGCCTACTCACCGCCCGCCCAACCACAGCTCGCCTGTCCCTCTTTGGAAAAAGGCTGCATTGATCGGCGACGGCGCGGCAGAAAATTGCACCGCCAGCCCCCATCCACTTTTTGGACCACTCGAGGGCTGTGATCCATGTCCGTGCTGGAGCTGCAGACGCTCCAACAGCTGTTGCGGCGGGATTTCACGCACCCCAACGAGCTCACGAAATATCAACCTTCCGGCCGGCCCTGTTGCCTTCGCTTTGCAGAGTCTTGCCAGGTACGGAGTACATGGTAGGGGCGGCGTTTCATCCACTATATTTCAAGCTCAATATCCAGTCAGCGGCCAGCCTCACCCACCTCTAATATATCCAGGACGAGATCAACCGGCGCAGAAAAAAAAACAAGGCGGAGACAGCCGCCTTTGCCTGGAGAGAGGTTGAGAGGCAAAGCAAAACAAGAAACAAGAGGGTTGTAACCGCAATGGCGTCCTCGAGCGCCACGCCGCCGTCGACATCGACGTCCGCAGCAGCAGCAGCGGCTTCGCTCAAGGTTGCTGCTGCTGACGCGCCAAGTGACGGAAAACTGCCAGACCGACCGAGGCAATTGGTCAACGATCCTGCTCGCACTGGCTTCGATCCCGAGACGAAATGGTGGATGAACTACTTCAAGATCCTGTCGAACCAGATGACCCCAGAGGGCAAGTTTCACTATAGAGAATGGCGGTACAAGGTCCACGAGGAGCGGGACTGTAAACGCTGCGAAGAGTACAAGGACTGGCTATTCACATATTCCCCCGTAGTTCGATTTCTTTCCGACAAGATCCAAGACCTCAATGGCAAGCTGGACCGCTCCAACATCCATTGCCGTCGATGCCCCTCTATCCTGGAGGAGGATGGCACGGTAAACCGCCAGGCCGGCGGCTTCGATCCCAACCATGGCATCCTGATATGTGCAAATGAGGTGCGAGATCGTAAGCACATGGAAGACACGGTGGCACATGAAATGGTTCATGCGTGGGATCATTTGCGATGGAAGATGGACTGGGTAGGAGACAAGAACTTGAAGCATGCCGCATGCACCGAGGTTAGTCTGCACATCTTGCTTTCTGCAGCCCACCAGGTTCCTTGTGACGAGGCATCAGTATGGCCATACTGACATGTTTTCTTCCCAGATCCGAGCTTCAATGTTGAGCGGCGAGTGTCGATGGACAAGAGAAGCCTTCACCCGAGGCCAATGGTCCGTCACGCAACAATTTCAAAACTGCGTCAGAAGACGAGCGATACAATCCGTCATGGCCCGACCGCGGTGCAAAGATGACGTACAAGCGACCAAGGTTGTCAACGAAGTTTGGGATTCATGCTTCTCCGATACGAGACCCTTTGACGAGGTATACAGGTGATGAGGAGGCCTATTTGAACGATGAAACTTGTAACAAAACCACATAATCTCCCCACAGGAGGACGTCATGTTAGACGTGTCTGTATTATTTCAATGCTATAAGGATACTCTGAAACCCCCGAGTTGCTCAGATATTTTGCTGCATATTGTTTGGTCCTTTTGAAGTCTTCCACCTCCCCCCAAAGAAACAAGGGACCGGGAGGGGTGAGTGGAAAACGAAAAGAAAAAAAAGAAAAAAAAAAAAGAAAGAAAGAAAAACCCTTTACTCCAAAGCATGCCGATGAATCCAAAACACTTCACTGTTGCTGCACACCAACTCCGCCCTTGTTTGCGACTACGATAACTCCAACAGATGGCCAAAGAACTTGCATATATGCCCGCGTTCCTTCAACGTCCCTTCTCACGATTGGTAGCTCGCTCTCCTTTGACACAGTGCTTCACAATCCAAGGATGGACTTGGACTTGCTCAAGAGAGATTCTCTTCTCGGGATCAAGAACAAGAAGCTTGCCACACAGGTTAGCCAAACTGCATCTTACCATCGGGCCAGGAACGAAATAGACGAATAAAATACGTACCCTTTTGATGAGGTCACTAGCCTCCGGGCTGACAAACGACGGAATCGACATGTCTGCCCTTTGAATCCTCCTCTGAGTCATGACTGGCGTATCCTCAAACGGAGCCTCTCCAACAAGGAACTCATACGTCAAAACACCCAAACTCCACAAATCCACCTTTTCATTGTAATAATTATCCGACGACCCAGGCTTAATCATCTCCGGCGGCAGATAATCCAGCGTTCCGCACATGGTCTTGCGCCTATTATTAGGAGCGTGCACACTCCAGCCAAAGTCGGAAATCTTGATCTCGCCATGGATGCCCATCAAGATGTTCTCAGGCTTGATATCCCTGTGAATAACATGCTTGCGGTGCAAGTACCTCAAGGCCGATGCCATCTGGGCAATGTATTGAGCCGACTTCCACTCCGGGAAGCGATTCTCCCTCCGCAGGTGCTTGTACAGCTCACCCTTGCCGGCAAACTCGAGAATCAAGAAGATGCGCTTGCTGTCGTGGAAGTGGCCGAACATTTGGAGAATATTAGGGTGGCGGAGGTTGCTCTGAATCTCAATCTCCCGACGAACTTGGCGCTCGACGCCGCCGCCCTGGATTTCACTCTTGTGCAGGACCTTCAAAGCGCAGATGAAGCCCGTGGTGCGCTCCCTGGCAAGGTAAACGCGACCGAATTTACCTTTGCCAAGGGGGCGGCCGATTTCAAACATTCCCAGGTGGAATTGCTTCGGCAGGCCGGGCTGCTCTACCAGCGAGGCCTTGCCAACCGTCGCCTCTGGCCCTTCTTCTGACGAGCGTGCTGATCCCGTTGACGGCAATGGCTTGCGGGTAGGTGATGCCGGGTTGTTGATTTTTCGCTGGGCAGCTTGTGAAGGGAGAGTGACGGCCGCAACGGCATTGTGGCTCTGCGACTGAAGTGCCACTTTGAACAGGTTTGTCCGACCGTTCCCGTGGGAGAGTTGTTGTGCTGCCGCCGATGATGCAACAACGGTCTGGGGGGTAAAGAGAAACTCGGCGTCAACAATCAAGGCTCTTTGGCACCATCTGAGAATCGGCGTCTGCTGGCTGCTTGCTTACCTTGCCTTTTGCGTAGAGCCTCGTGCCCTCCCCATGATCATTCTCATCCTGGACAGTCATGCGCTCGAAGCGCGTCTCGAGGGTCCGTGAAGCCATTTGGATCCCAAAGAACGGGCGGTGTATCGACAAGAAGCTCTAGGAAGTTCGCAAAGGGCGAGAGAGCGCAACAAGGGACACTGGAAGTTTTATCAGCTGGCTAGTCTTGATAAAGGCTGTGGGATAGGATGAGGGCCGTTGCGGGACGGCTTAGGCCAAACAGTCGGTGTTTCGGGTTGCCACAGCAACGACAACGTCCGGCCCCATCTCCGTCTTGGACACGTGTGGGGCTGCCTGTAGTACAACAAGGGAAAAATGACATGCTCAAGAATCAGAATAAATTAGTTATCGTATTGTCCATGACTTTTCAGTCGCCTCGGGCTTGGTCAGGCCATGTTTGGCTGTGACACATATGTGCAGCTGCACCTGCTGCATCTAATCGCGCATTGTGCCCGATAAGTAGCTAGTATTCTGACCAACCCCTTTGACACCTCAAGTAATACCAGCCGGAGCCAGGAACCTCGGTGTAGTAAGAGGTTCCATTGACACACTCTATGAAGTAGAGCACTCCATTGTGCCACTGCAAGTATCTGAAGACAGTGTCTTGAGCAGTTACCGGACGAAAATGGGGAAGGGGGGGAGGAGGAGGAGACCTTGGCCGACATGGATGGCCCCGAGGCAGGTTATGGACCGGGGTTGGAGGCGATGGATTCCTCTGGGGCGCTCTCTGGGTCCGTCTCCTGGGCTCTCTGCGCATTCTTTCGTCTGGCATTGTTGCAGAAGTTCCAAGGGCACAGGTCCGAGATAAAGGCAAGGCAAGCGTGGTGGATGCCGTTGTGGTAGAAGGAACAGAACGACTGGGTAGTAATAGATGTCTGTCCTCGAGTTGATTGTGCAGGGCGGGGAGTAAATAGCTCTCTGCGATTCTGAGACAACTTTGTGAAATGATGGTATCTGATGTTGCGAGGAGGGCGGAAGCATGAGGACGAATATATGTCTATATATATGAATTTAGAAGTACATGGTGACTCTACACACGCCGAGGTGGCTTTTCCACAGCAGCACCAACATGGCGTCCGCCTGGAGCCGGGCCAAAGTTTAATACTTTTTTTGTACTTGGCATTTGAAGCGGCGGAGCACGCCTTCATACATGCAGCACTCCATGTTGGAAACCGTGATTCACTCGGATGTGTGAGCCTGTTTATGAGGGCACAAGTATTGTGGCTTCGGTTGGCACAGAAAAGATCCTGGTGAAGCTGTATCGCCAGGGACATTGAGAAGGTGGGAGCTGAAAAGACGCCCTGTACTATTGTATTCAATATAACTATCTACCCGTCAAAAGGACTTGCGAGGAGGACCTTTGATGAACTTCCAATCTTGGGTGTATAATTCACCATATAAAACGCCGAGACTAAATCTTGTTGCGTTAATGTAAACACTAACTTTAGCATGGACGAAGCATCACATATATATTCCAAAAGCCAAGCAAGCCGAAGCACAGTCAAGGTTGCGGCTTACATGCTTGCTGGGTATGAGCAGCGATTTACGTTTGCTGGTAAAGTCATAAGTGGGCATTCGGCCGAAGCCGGCATGGACTAGGAAACCTAATAATTACAGTCATACGGAGACGGAAAAAAGAATTAAAAAAAAGAACAAAAAAAAAAAGAATCATCAAAGGCTCGAGCCGGCCGCCAATCAAACACTCCCCATCAAGCAAGTGTTCCAAGTACGGAAGTAAGAAGCCGCCAGGATTCAGGAACGCCCCACCCCCGCCGAGAGCCCCGCCAGGCCCCTCGAGTCTGACTTGACATCAATGGAAACCTCAATCAGAGTCAATCCTCCCGACGTCACATCCGGCCGAGCTCCCGACACGGCCATCACCATCCCGCCGTCGAAAGCAAAACCTCGCGAGAGCGCGCAGCTATGCAGTCCAGCCGCCTGCCCCCAGTCCCCCCCGGGCCGACTGGCCGCCCCCCCACCATCAACCACATCAACGACCTCAACGAGCCGTTTCCCACGCGTGATGCCCTTCAAGCCGCTACCAAGAGCCACTCGCAAGGAAACTTCACCATCTCGGCCCGCAAGCTCCCCATCTCCAAGGCCGGCGCCATCGACCGCCTCACCGAGAAGATCGGCATCCCCATGCCGGAGATGATATTCGGCGACAACATTGTGTCCATCCTGCACAGACCCTCCAAATGGTACTTTGAGTTTAACACCCCGGATGCGCTGGACGCCGTGGACAAGACGGACAAGCATATGCTCAAGGTGGCCTACGCACGGGACTGGGAGAGCACGCGAGAGGGGACAACGCAAAGCATCAAAGAGGTTGTCAAGCCCTACGACTGGAGTTATTCGACGACCTATGCGGGAACGGTCGGCGTAGCAGGCCAGCAGCCGCAGCAGCAGCAATTCGATGGGTCCTCTTCCTGCGAGGCTGCAAGCAGCCCCATCGTCCTCCCGCAGTTCCAACCGACGGACAAGAAGATCCCAATCCAACTACTAAAAAGGCGTGACCCGATCCTCTTCTTCGACGAGGTAGTTCTGTACGAGAGCGAGCTGGACGACAACGGAATCTCAATGTACAGCGCCAAGGTGCGCGTCCATCAGCAGCGCATGTTGATCCTATGCCGCTTGTTCATGAGGCTAGACAATGTGGTTGTCAGGCTGCGCGACACCAGGATATACGTCGACTTTGAGACCGACGAGGTGATGCGAGAGTACACCGCCAAGGAAGCCAAGTTTGACGACGTGAGGCGGGTGCGTGTTGGCCTTTTTTTTTTCCCTTCTTGTTTTTTGCCGTATCTGCGCTCACCGTACGCTCGGGTGCTAACGTTGCTTGTTAGAAGCTCGCCATGTCAGGGCGTCTACCAGATGACATTACTGTTGTCTTGCGAAACCCAAACGAGTTGGATCCCTTGCTCGACGTTGTGCAACACCAGACCGAGGCGCTTTGCCTGAAGTAGAAGCGGCGCCGGCGTGAGTAGATGGAAACAGATGGGTTGGTATGAATTGCGTATCTAGATATCATGGCGTTTTAGGTAGGAATTCCGCATTGCCGCTCGCATTCGCATGGGCCAAGGCGAGCACAAAAGCGAAGATCAAGGTCGTCAGATGTTTGTACAGACTACGGAGTCGGCAAGAAATGTCGCTGCTACCACGTCGACGACTCACAAGAGGGGGGGGGTTTGTTGAGGCCCACGCACATGAACCAAGTTGCTCTGTTGGTCACCAAAACCCGCTGACAAGTATAGAGTACGAACAATAGTGTTCCAACACAAAGGCCCAGGGAACAAAGCGTCAGAATAGTCAACTAGCCAAGCGGTATGCCGCTCGGGTATTCAGTAAAAATTAGCACACCCTGCAAACCATGATGCTAAACTAATATCAACGACGGGGCCCCTTCCCATCCTGCACCCATGCTCCCAAACACCGTAAACAAGCTCCCACCCGAGTTTGACCACCAAGGCATAACTCATCAAGCTTTTCTTGTCACCTTCACCGCGCTCCTAGTGGCGATGACGACTCGGTAACCTCCTCAAACGACAACTCCCATCTATCTACCTCCTCAAACTTCCTACTCGCTCTCTTCAGCTCCTCCGCATTCTGGATATCCTCAATCACAGACGCCCCGACATCAAACGTATCGTCCGGAAGGGGCTGGAACTGACTATTATCCTGCTCCTCCTCCTCACTCTCATTCTCCTTGTCCTCCTCGGGGCGGTATGTTTTCGAGGCTGTCCTGGCGGAGCGCCGCACAGAGGCGGGGGTTTGCTTTGGTTTGAGGATGTTCCGCCCCTGACGGGAAGTAGTTCTGCTTGGAGGGCGACTGCCTTTTCTGCGTCTTGGTCCGGTATCCTCGTCGTCGTCCTCTTCGGTGTCAATATCGGATTCTTCCCTGTTACGCTTATATCGCCGTTTAGGGAGCAGGCTTGTGAGGTCAGCGGTGGTGGGCTGCTGAGAACGCTGGTGTTTGGAGCCTCGGGCCCGGGTAGCATAGTTGGGAGAGTGCGTCAGCGATGGCGGTGATGAGACGTCAGATAGGTCGTCCCTATTGTTTCTGAGAGGCGTATTGATAGATGGGCGGCGGTGTTTCTTGGCAAGTGAGTGGATATCTGGCCAGACACCATCATCTGCTTCAGAGTCACTGCTGGCGGGGGGGGCATTGATTTCATCCATATTGATAGGCGTGGCCGCTCTGGCAAAATGAGCTGCTGGCGGCGACGGCGACGCCAACTCAGAGAGCTCGGAGTCGCTGATGTCTATGCCGCCGTTGGCTTCGACGCGCGCAATCTTCTCGGGTCGGGGGCTTTCGGATTGCGCATTTCCATCGCTCTTTCGCTTTCTGAGTGAGCGCCTGCGTCCTTCAGGCGAGGGCGAGGGCGCGCGATCGCGTGCCACATGTGCCTGACCACGTCTTGATCGACGCCTCGGATTCAGAGGTGTCGACTCGGCTTCTGGTGCGAATTCGCCCTCGCTTTCAAGCTCAGAGTCCCGTGCTACGCTCCCTGCTCTGCTGCTCGCCGCACTGCCTGCCAGACTGCCCGTTTGCGAGCGTGGTCGTCGAGATGTAGCCAGGATGCTCGGCTCTCGGGCGCGTCTTCGGAAGATGCCAATGTTGAACGAAGAGCTGACACCGGGCGTGTTGGTGCCCCTGCTGCTGGGTCGAATGGGAGGGTCGTTGCGTCCGATTATGCTGGACTGGCGAGATCTGGGTCGTGTTTTGAAGTGGCTAAGGGTCCCGGAGGAGCTGGCCGCTGAATGGGGGGGGTCAGGAATATCTCCGTCCGCAAAACTGTCGCCCAAGTCCCCGAATACATCGTCGTCGGCCAGATCCAGGCCAGTGGTATCCCTTCTCGTAGCAGGCGTAGCCATGGCGCGTCGTCCAATTTCAATCGAGCTTCTCGTGTCATCGGGGCCAGCTGTAGACGTAGGGTCCTCGTTCGCAAGACTGTCTAGAGCCGCATCCCTTCTCTGGTTGGCTGCACGAATGGCGTCTTCCTCGTCAAGGCGCAGACGAGCTCCCGCAGATCGCGTCGACCTTGTGCGGCCTCTCGTACGGCCGCGCTGTTCATCTTGGTCATCTGTTACGGCAGCAGGCTCGGGTGGATTTGAGTCGGTGGTGAGCGGCGCCTGACGCGCCCGCCTTGGTCGTGGCATGGTTGGTAAAGTACCAGAGCTAGGCTCTTTACTGTTTTGCAAGAACTGATGCTATTAATCTAGAGACGAGGAAAGGGGGACAATAAAGCAGACTTTGTGAGATCAAAATCGGGTATTGTGGCTGTCTTGTTCAAGATTGGTTCCATGTATCGTGTATCGAGGTGGATGGATATGTTGGGAGTTGAGTACTTTGGTACTTGGCACCTTGACCGTAGAAAATGCACCAAGACGCGTCGCGACGCGGGCGGGAAGCTACACAGTGGACTAGCCCCGTCTTGGTCTGGGTCGAAACAGAATCACGGCTGGGACCAAAGAATAGATGGACTTGACCGCCGGCTCGTCCACAGCTTGGAGACCAGTAATTATATTTATTTTTTTTTAAAAAAATAATAATAATAATAATAAAGGAGGATATTCCGTGGTCATCTTCTAATTAATGCTGCTATTTCTTGGAGATTAATATGCCCGGTCCCCTGTCTGGCTCTATGTGCACCCTTCCCGACCTAGTATCGTACACACAATAAAACTCTACACCCAAAATCGTACACTTTTTTTTTTAAATGAGCGCCTGGCCCATGAACATGCTGTTCTTGACCTCTGAAACGACATCCTTTCGGTCATTGTTGCCTACCAGAACAATACCCCTGCCACGACGACCCATTCGTCCAGCTCGACCAAGCCGGTGAATAAAATCAATAGTGGTGTGCGGAACATCATACAAAATGACATGGCGCACAGCTACTGTGTCGATGCCCCTAGACGCCAAATCTGTAACCACCAAGGCCTTTACATTGGATAGAGAGCGACGCCGCCCCGCGGCTGCCGCAGTCGTTGTGATTCGTAGTGGCTCGGGCGACGTGAACATGCTGAGCACTTCGCCGTGCCGTTTCTCCGGGGTGTCTCTGTGTAGGGCCTCGGCGTCTATGCCCTTGGATCGCAAGTATTCTGCTACCTCTTCCGTCTTCTCTCTTTCATTCACAAACACTAGTACCCGACGGACATCCACCTCCCCTTTAACAGGACCCTCGTACGCCGACGCCTCTCTGCCGATGGTATAGATTGCATCTGCACAGGCAAGATCCTTGTTATTCCTGTAAGGGTCCTTCGAGACGTCAATGACACCGAGCTGGACCCGTCGTGGAATGGCATGCAAATTAGGCGTAGTGATGCGTGTCATTTTGGGGTAATTGGTCGCCAAGTAATTGTTCAGTTTCTTCGGGATGGTAGCGGAGCAGCACACCAACTTCTTCATGGATGGCATGGCTCGCTCAATAATGCTGGTCGTAACTGACGCAAAGCTTCTGTCAAACAGAGAATCCGCCTCATCGACAATGACGTGAGACACTCGAGATAATATGTTGGGGTCCGAGTCCGCAATGGATGCGAGCAGATGGGGTGTGGCAACAATGACATCGACGCCCTTTGGCCCGTAGATGTTTCGCTGGATCTGCTGTGCTTTGAGATCCGACGACAGCATTTCCGTTTTGAATTTGGCAACGTGTGACAGGGACTTGGATACTTTCATGACCTGCTGGGCAAGCTCGGCGGTGGGCACCAAGACAATGACTTTTGGCCGCGCCATTGTGGGATGTGGCTCGTCGAATGTTCTTCCCTTGAAGTTTGCCACCTGTTGGCGTGCCTTTTCTTCTTCAAAGCGCTCCTTGTATGCCTTGATGTCCGGGTCCTCAGCCTCGGCGATTTTGAGGGCGTCGATAGCGGGTAGGAGGTACGCCAGCGTCTTTCCAGAACCCGTCTCTGCGGCCAGCAAGAATGACTCCATTCCCTTGCTGGGGGTCTTGTCCTCTCCGGGGCCTGCTTGTCCTAATAACGCGGGAATAGCCAGGCGTTGCACCGGTGTCGGTTTGATGTCCACCATGTTCTTGAACAACTCCTCAGTCACAGCCGATTTAACAATTGGCAGCAAGTCAAACTGGTCAAAAGTGTCGTACTGGGACATCTTGTCCTTTAAACTGGCCCTCCGTCCGTACGAAACAGTAGCCAAGGCACGCTGCATCTTCAGTGCCTTGCGATCGTCGGGTTTTCGTCGCTCATCGCGCCGGGACGTCGTGTCACTGGAATCTCTTCTTGAGGACCCTCGCGCCTCCCTCGGTGCTCGATTTCGGTCAACATTTGCGACTCGTCTATTCATCCCGGCAAAGGGCCCATCGATTGAGCCGCGTCTCGACCTGTGCTTACCAGCAGAGGCAGGGGATTGATGGACTCTGTCGGAGAGCACCATGCGAGATGGCCTTGCCTTGGCCTGTCGCGAAACGAACCGTTGCACCAGGGGCGGCTGGATGAGGGCACGAGGCGCTATCCGACGACCTAGGGTCGAGATGCACAACGAGCAGATCGAACTGGGCGCCATTGCGTGCGATTGTTACCGAAGAGCATCTGCGGCAAAGATTGAAGCGACATCTAGAGTCGGAATATTTTTTTGGGGATTTTGGGGGGGGG